TTGTCACAAAAAAATTGACATTAACAAAAAAATTTTTAACACATTTATTGGTTTGTCAACACATGCTTCACAAYACATTCACATTTTTTATATACAAAATATGGAATCGAGTTATACAAGTTATGATTTTGTGTCGTTAAACATTATATTATTAATTTGAAGTCTGACAAGAACATTTTGAATACATTAACTTGTTGCATGTGGATCATACACAATGAAACAACAAAATTATAAAAATCTTTTGTCAGTCTCTACTTCAAACGTTTAAAACACAGTCTGTACACAAGAGTTTGATGAAGTCCAAGAGCTTCCCRTACTGTTGGTTCCCAATCCTGATCCTCAAGTACCCCTATCCAGCATGTTTTACTTGTTTCCCTGCTATTCATCAGGTCTTCAGAAGATTGTTAATCACTCATTCATTCAAACMAGGTGTGTCAAATCAGAGAAATATCTAAAAATCACTGCTCTAAATGTTGACCAACACCTCAAGAGCTTCCCTGAGTTTGATGAGACATTTTCARAATATAATATTGACTCAGTTTTGTGTTTTTAGTACTGCCTCTGGAAGCCATTGATTCTTTCATTTGTAAATAATAAATCAGATAACATGTATTAAAGCAGTGATTCTAAACCCTTGTCCTCAAGGACTCCTTTCCTGCATGTTTAGATGTTTCCCTGATTTGACACATCTGGTTTGAGWGAATGRGTGATTAACAATCTTMKGAAGACCTGCTGMATAGCAGGGAAACWARTAAAACATGCTGGATAGGGGTACTCGAGGAGCAGGATTGGGAACCACTGCGTTTAGGAGTTCAGGAGCACTTCAAAGAGACTGCCGACTGAATGCATGCGGTAAAAGATGCCAAAAGGAAGACCCACGTTCACAATAGTAGCCCACGTGTTGAACTGATAGAACTCGGTTTCAGCGTCGTGGTCAAACTGGGGACGAGCACCAAATGCGGGCATCACCCACAGCTGTGGAAGACACAAACAAAACGTTTAGTATTCAGTCAGTCTGAAACATTGAGTTTAAGGGAGTGACGGTGAAAAATACTCACAATGACATTGCCCAGCAGCAGAAAGGCACAGACCTCCCTCAGCACCCGCCGCTTCCACAACAGTCTGTGGTGGTTCTCCGCCGTCCCACCGTGGCTCTGTGCTTCAGCGTCGGGTTCGGCTTTTTTCTCCGTGTCTGTTTTTTCAAGGTTGCCCCCATCTTTGCTTGTTTTTGTCACATATGGATTTACCACCGCTTCATGGAAGGGCTCTCTGTGCAGGCCTTCAATTATGAAACAATCCTGCAGGCCAAGCTGGACCACCATGACCAAACCCCAGGTCAGGTTGAGCCTGTTCAGGTAGCTGTTGGCTCCGGTTGCTACCATTGCAACGATGGAGAAGTAGCTGATGATGAACTGGCCCAGCGAGGATCCCACCAGCAGCCCTACGTCCAGGCTGCGGATGGGGTTCTTCTCTGTGCTGTGCTCCCTGTGTTCTACCCTGAAGATGGCACAGCCGACAATGGTGCAGAGCGACATCGATGTCACAATGACTATATTCATGACAAAGTGCATCATAACTGCATTGTCTCTGCCCTCCTGGTCGTTGTAGTTGGTATTCATTTCAATTTCATACAAAGTGAATGTCGCCAGGCCTGCGACCACCATGACTAGCCCCATAACTGGACCAACMAAGATGTTCCTGAGACTAAATTTGGTGTGGTGGCTGAATTCAGGTGAGACTCGCCCTACATTCTTCCACATAACGTAGGCCATGGCTGAAGCAAAGAGGCAGTACTCGATATTGAAGGGGTACAGGTAGTAGTAGACCGCCTTGAAGAGACTGCATGAAGTGTGGCTGCATTTACAGGAATCATCTCCATAACCATCTGTGAGACAGGAAACGGCACAAAAACAGTAAAGTGTTATTCTAGGGATACCCTAATGACTATTAGATGTATTTTTCCTTCTTGGTCTGTTTCAGTCACTTCTACTGATGTACAGGTCCCGTGTTGAGTGTTGCGTGACGTTAGTCGGGTGTTGGGGCACCGTTGTTTGGTGAAGAGACTCCTCAGTGACCTCAGCCATCCAAATAACCAGGTTTGTAGAGAGTGTGAGCATCAGGCCACAGCTGAAACAAGAAAAAACTAAAATTAAACTACAAAAAATAAATCACCAACAGTTCCTCCATCAGGGCACATCATCTAAAATTAGTGCTAACAACATTTTAAAAAGTGTTGCTTTTGACACTTAAGATTGAAAAATTTTTTTTTTGTTAAATCAGTTAATTTTGCAACAGAAATAGGGTTTGAGATAAAGCAAATAGAAAAAGTGGCTATTTCTGTTATATGGAAATAATGGGTTGTACATTTCATAAAGTAAAATATTTTAAAAATAAATTAATAAATATCCTAAATGCATTATAAGAAACATGTAGCCCAGGGCTATCCAACTGGCGGCCCGCGGACCGGATGTGGTGACCGAAGTTTAGCCCGCAAATTGGTTCATTCATCTCTTAAGCCCAAATCCCTGGTTTTCTACTTGAATAAGTAAGTTATTTTAGTTAGACATAGACATGTTTGGAATCAATAGAAATGTCAGAATCTTGGCTACAGGCTGGTAAAAACCATTTCAATGAACACCCAAGACAGACAAAACTGCAAGCAGTTGAAGATAAAACTATGAAAGTGAAAATAAAATTGGTTTAAAACTTTGGCAAGTCAGAGATGTCCAAATATTATTTGCGGTAAATAAGCGGCATAATGTGTTATTTTTGTTTTATTATCACTACTTTTATTACATAGGGTGCAGCAAAATAAACTATTTCAAAAGGTAACAGATCTTTATAAAACTTGGTTTATTTACATAATGACTTTAACTGCTGGACGTTCGGCCCCTCAGCTGTTGGCCTGCAGTAACTGTGGCCCCTGGAGCAATTTAGTTGAATAGCCCTGATTTAGCCTCTTTTTGCACTCAGTTGTGTAGCACACTCAGAGATCATAGGGACAAAACAGAATAAAAGAAAGATGGAATCACTCACCGTGAAAGGTTCCTCTGCAGCTGCACACAATCTTTTGAATGGATGCACAGAAAGTATGTCTGCAAGTTCAATAAATGGTTAGCTTAATATTCTGAAGCCATCATAAATGGATAATGTATTTCATGTATCCATTGTTTGTTTTTAGTCATACCTGTACAATAACAAAGACAAGTTGCACCACGGGGAATGCAACATTAACAGCGGGATCACAGTGGACATATCCCACATAGTTGGCTATCTTGAAAATATCCATGATGATGCTGAGGATTCCAA